CTACAGAGCCACAAAACTTTGTCATTACTGTACTGCAATAAGGTAATGTGATTTACCCATTTACTGGCCTCAGTCTATTTTTACTCTCTATGTGAAAATACATGAATCTATTCATATGTATAAAACACAAAGCAATGGAAAATTCAACTTATTGAATTAATTTATTATTCCATTCAGGCGGCTTCTTATAAACTAATTGATCAAATTCAGCAATGTGGCATGTGGATGCCACATGATGAATCTCAAAAGTATGTGCCATCACTGCCGTGTTGATATTTTCTGTTTACTCAAGTATACAAAGACTGTTCAGTAATGGAGTTCAGAAACACAACGTCTTGTCATGAGCTATCGTTGAATAAATGGAAAACTGTGGATTTTGCAAAACAATTTTGTAGCCTAATAACAAAGTGGCTAATTCCTGAAAGCCCAGATAATAAACAGAAGGCATAATGTTTATTATCTGTTGATACATCCTCGGGCTCTGCTTTTCCCCTAAACAAGACGAATGGTGCTACAAAGTTAATGCATGTGTCTACTCTGGCTATTAAAAAGAGATCACAGATTGTGACTCAACCAGCACACATAAACACATAGACAGGGTGGTCCAACATGCTTCTGGCTCTGTGTGTGTGTGCATGTATGTGTGTGTGCGTGCTTGTAGTCTCTTCCCAGAAATGTGCAACAGTAAACAGACTAAGAGGCAGAGAAGTAACATCACCACAACCGCTGGCTGGGAGCATAAACAGTGACACACAATGCAAAGCAAGGCAACACTGCACTAACTTCCCTCTCATGTTGGTTAGTATGTACAGGCACACAGTGCATGTCACTGCACATATCTCAAAGGGCAAGGAAAAAAAGAAAAAAAAAAAAAGAAGAAACATCTGCAATCAAAGGTGCAGAGGCTGCAGAGAGCAACTGTGAGGCCCCCTGAGAGCTGCCCTGCTTGGACTGGAAGCCTCTGGCAGTCCCCTGGGGGCTCAAGAGGCCCTAACCCTTCACTCTTTAGTCCCTGACACTAACCAGACACAGCAGCACAAACACATGCAGGAGTAGGGGGGTGGTGTATATATGAGAGAGAGAGCAAGAGCCAGACAAAGAAAGAGAGAAAGAGGGAGACATAAGCAGAATGGACCCACAGCTTCAAGCACTGGACGGCGTTTTCTCATATCCTCCTCTCAGTCTCTCCCTTGTAAAGAGAGCAATTACATGTCCGGGACGATCCCACATTAAACAAACATTAGTTCTCTCTCCAGAGCCAGACGCAGCCAAATTACATTGTTTCCAGATGCCCCCGTTACAAAAAAACACACTTACACCCACTCTCTCATCTGCCAGTTTCTCCTCTTTCTATTGTTCCTCTTTTTTCTCCTCACATTTGGCTACTCTTCATCTCTCCCTATAGATCCTTAAAACTTCCCAAGTTAATATGCGGGTTTGTGAATAATACCAGAGCTAGTGGTTTACGATTACACTGTCACATTCACAGCTACAGGAGGAAGAGAGGAGGGCCAGAGATGGACGCATTAAAACGGGTCAGATAAGAAATGGTATGCAAAGTTTTTAATGTAAATTTGACTTTAGAATTAATACTGATTGTAAGGAGGCTAGAATAATGTCCAGTGCATAGATAACATTTCACATTCCATGCTGCATTCAATGTTTACCTCAACTGAAATGAGCCAGATATTTGCTTAAAAGTTAGTCTATATGCAAATTGAGTTTGAGTGCTCATCTGAGTCACACAGCATTACCATCCATACAGTCTTGTGTTTAATCTACTGCTCAGTTCTGTTGTTTAAGACAGACTTTCTATGAAATGATCTGACCAGTGGAACAGACAAGACTGTCAGAAAGACTATTTTGGTAAATTTTGTTCTATTACGTTTTTAAAAAACTTTATTAGATATTTTTCTGGATTAAAATGAAGAACATTCCCTGGTTCCAGATGTATCGTATGTGATAATGAACTGAATATGCATCTACTAATTAGTTAACTTCGTTAACTTTCAGATATGAAAGTTTGAGTTTGCCTTTCACATTAGAAGAAAGCAGCAGATTATCCAGGTCAGATGTGTTCAAAAAACTAGGAAAATGTCCAGAACATTGAGGTGACGGGTTGTGCCTGAGTAGAGCTGGAGGCAGGACATGATGTATAAATTCCACTGTGGAAATCATGTATTTTTGTTCACATCATATCGACATCGGCCCTTATCGTCAAAAGCTCCCTGATCTTATTTTTCCAAGACAACATCTTCGTCTGTGTCTTGTTTACACTGAAAGAGGTTTCACATCCGTTGCATGTTAGAAACGTCATCAACATCCCTTCTCATTCGCTGTGAATTTTCCAGACATTATTCCTGCTGTATTCTCATATGGGCTCACTCGGACAATTAACAAGGGGAGTGGAAGGAAAAGTTCCAGAAAATGTCCGAGCTGACTGACATTTGCGTTCTTGCATATGACACCTCCAGAAATTTTCACAAAAATGCTGGGACTTCAGTGCATGTGTGAAAGCAGCTTCAGATATTTCAGTCATGACCAGGGTGGTGGACCAACTGACTGCTGCTGCCATCAATAAACCCACTGCTGCTATGGCTAATAATAATAATAATATAATTTCACACAGACTGACAAGTTGGGTACAATCAGTGCAACTAACAAAAGCAACAATTGATTAACAGACAGAATCGAGGCCAGACTTGAAGGTCCTCCTCCTGCTGAACGGCACAAAACAACAGGCTTTATCAAACACTGAAAAACATCTCTGACTAAGAACAAGACGTTTACTACCAAACACATGGGAAAAGCTAATTGTGCACTTCCGTGAGAACACGCTTGCTAACTGAACTCCTGTCCAAGACATAATCAAAATGAATGTACATCTTGGGGAGGGTGAGTGTGCACACATGCTCAGAGGGCAAATAACACAGCATGTTCCTTTGCATCATGGGATGTCAAAGCTAAACGTTGACTTCTTGCTGCTGATAGAAGTAGCTTTGTAGACATGGGAACCAATGTCACATTGAGTTAGTATAGTCTAAGCTCAAGGATAACTGTATCAAAAATGTTGACCAGCCATGTCTTTGAAGTCTATGACCCAGACTAGATGTCAGACGCTATTCTAGGAAAAAGAACCTCAATATAAAATTCCCATGGAAGAATTGTACTAGAAATGCGCCTTGTGCCCTTGAGCAACACAGTGAATCATTTTCAAAAGGAAAACGTTGTTGTGCAGGCGACCTCACACTTTGACCTTGCGCAATGCATTTGTCTCATTATATATGTCACTACTGTTAAAAACACTGTGGACTCTCATGGGAACGGCTGGCTGAAGTAAGACACTGAACAGAGAACATTTAATCATGGTAAAGCAGCCTCTCTTCCATTTTAGTCATATATAATGTGTATTTATTAAAGTGTGTAAATAAAACAGAACATTAAAATAAGCCCTGAAGGTAGAGAGCATCAAACCAAAGCTGGATAACTGCATTTTATATGTTTTTATGAGCGTGTGTGTTTATGTGCTTACATATATGTCTGTTTGTAGGGCTACATCAGACAGTCAGTACATGGGTGAAGGAGCATTCAAATACGCTCTTGTTTCCCCAACACCTAAGGGCATCTATGGGGACCTCCTAACCCCCAAACACACACACTTATCTAGAACCATGCAAATCTAATGAGACAGCCAGACTGAGACATAGACAGACAAACCTGAGGGCAGAGGTGCCTGAACACAAATATCAACAATTATATAAACAGTCAACACACTGCTCAGATGTGGCTGTTACTAAGATCCATATCTAGTCATTATATTTTATTGAAACAACATCACCAATAACTTATTGGTTTAAGCTCAGACACTTTCCCCAGCACATTACTGCTGCGGCACTGTTAAGATTTCAATTTCAGATTAATACAGATGTTTCAGAGAAATTTCAATATTACCTTGGTTCCGCTGCGAATGGCTGATTTGAACGTTCGGTTTTGCAAACGCTCAATGGTTTCATCAAATATTAGTCTACAAGTGGAAACTATTTCAATGCAAATTAAATGTGCGCGTGTGTGTGGGAGGGGGGTTACGAACTGTGGAAGTAGTGAGAAAAAGGACAAAGGGCTGGTGTAGAAGAAGCTGCAGACTGCGGCTCAACAGTGGGTGCATAGCACTTACATTTGATAACTCCGGCATTAAAATTAAAAACTACATTCTCAAATGAAAGCTGAACTAGTCAATATAAGTTGTCTGACAAGTAAAATGTAAAATGTTATCTTTTGCTATAGACAAACTTTCTCTTTTATGTATTTCTTTTTTAACTGTTGCATCCTTGAGCATTCAAAAATACAGAAAGACCAGCTGATGAATACACTGGTTAATAACATGAAAACTGCCTGGTCGCGTATTCTACTGATCAATAAAAATAAAGACAATTTGGCTTGTTACAGCTTCAACTTTAAATGCTTTTTAATTAATTGTATGTCAAAGCCTTGTTTGGGTAAAATAGTTATGGTTACGTCGACTATTCATCAGACTGAATAGATCATTTTTAAGGGACAGTTTAATATTTTGGGAAGTAAATTATTCGCTTTCATGATGAGAGTTAACAAGAATTGACTCTACTGTCATATTAGCATGCTAAACACAAAGCTTCAGTGAGCAGCTGGTTAGCTCAGCTCATATTTAATGACAGATGTGTGGTGTGGTGTCTTCCCAAGCAATCATAGGAAGATCAACATTTTTAAACAATCTCTTTAGGACAAAATGTTGGGCTTTGGCTACTGTATGATGCATGACTATGTGAAAATGAATGTAATAGATGAATAAAATTGCTAAACTTGACAATATCGAAATCAAATTTCATGCAGCTTGTGTAAATTCACGTAATCTCACAAAACTGTCAACAATTATTGGTCCTTACCCAAGTAGACATAATTTGTTAACCACTAACAAACTGAGTATACACTGTATGTGTGTGTTTGTGTGTGTGTGTATTACTCACATAGTCGGGCAAGGCTGTGTTGTCTGCCTGTCTGCCTCGGAGACTCTGTGTTGCCTGCTCCAGAACCTTGTTGTGCTTTTTGGAAAGCAAAGCAAATAAACTGCAGGAGAGAGACAAAGAGAGAGAAGTGAAAAGAGAGTCAGAGCAACGGTGACTGATGGATGATACACATCTATGAAATAACCCAAATACAAAGTCATCATACTGCGCATGCAGACCAGTAATTAATGTGCTGTAAATAATTCAACTGTAGCCTAAACTCAACTGAAGTGGGAAGCTTCAGTTTTAGACAGATTACTACTAAATTACTAAAAGAGGCCTTTAAAATAATGAATAGAAATGAGTTGTGGAATAACAAAATTATGTGTCAAAATAATAATTTACTACGAAGACTAAAAATGAGTCTTAATTTAACACCAATCGGCCCCCAAGGGTGTTAAATGTTTAATATGTGTGTTAATCAAGGAACAAAAATTGAAAAATAAATTAAATTCAATGACAGCGAAGGGCTAAAGGAGCCTTAAACGCACAAAGATCTCAACTCATGTCCCTTAGAGCAACACCTGTCCATCTGTCAGCACTGAAAAACACACACACACAACATCTCTCAGCATTCTTTATCCAGGCTAATTGGCCGAATGATAGGTGGATGGAGGTATCTGAGCAGCGACGTGGAGGTCTACCTGTTATCTAGAGACCTCATGTCAAAGGAGCCACATCTACTTAATAGGACCTGTTGTAGTATCTAGTCAGATTCAAACAAGAGACCACCAAAGAAGCTCCACCGGGGAACCCCTGCCAACAATAACGCACTTTGACTAGTCGCTCTGTCACATCCTCCCATTTATGCCGAGGCAGTGAAGGACATGGACAGCAAGCGGCGACCCAGGAGGATTTCCAAACCGCCTGCCTAATCCCAAAATCAGTTATAAGGCTGAGGTCATGACAGACATGGTCAATGTATAGGTGGTCTGTCTCCACCTGTCCAAAGGATTCTGTTTTTCTGAATAGTGGATGCACACACTGGGTTTTAACGTGTTGTTCTTCAAAATATGATTATTTGTATGATATATTTTAGCATTTTCATTTTAAGGATTAGATTATGTATGGTTGCACTGGAGTCTGGAAAATGAGAATCGCAATTTTCTTGCTTGGATTTGGTTTTTTTTTTACAATAGCTGAATACTTGTTGCACTCACTGACTGCAAAACAACAAAATATGATCGCTCCTGATCTATTGTGATGTCGAGGAGATTTTCTTCTGACATCTTCTTGGCCTTTACAGCTTTGTCATATAGCACTTTGTGGTGAGGTTAAAGGTGATTATATAAATTTGTGGTGTTACCCTGTGGTGCTGCTGGCAAAACATTGCTTGCAATATTCGTGGTTTTGACTTTCATCGTATTGTCTGAATCCAAAATACCTCCAAACCACAGAATGAGAACCTTTTGCAGTACGAGCACAGTGGTTGGTTATCTGGTTGTCACTACCTTCATCTGGGTTTGGTATGACAGTAGGCACGAAATGGGGCCAGGTTGAAACCAAACCTAAAGCCGCAGCAAGAGCTCTCAATCTGGCATATAAAGGGAACCTTTGTCCTTAACACAAATGTTTCTCCATTTTTCTCTTGCTCCATTTCCCTGCTGGTTTTTGTGCTGATCTGCATCACGTGGGATGACTCTGAGATGTCACTGGTTGGGTGAGAACGTAAGAGCACTTGTTTTGATAGAGTTGAAATCCTATTTAAAAGCTGAAATCCTATTTAAACCAAATTAAAATGCAGAATCGTTAGCGTATAGGTGTGAATCGAGATCAAGATTTCAATATGATCAATTTTGCAGCCCGATGCTCAAGTTTTAGGAGAATTTTAAACTGAAACCTTGCTAGTAAAATGTGCAACAGGGCCCCCATCTGATCTCAAACCACATTGCAATAATTGCAACACCCCAGCTGTTTGTTTGGGGCTTTCTGGTGGAGTGGAGGCAGTCAATGGTGAGTTTCAGCAGGTAAAAGAAGGTCTTATAAATTCTGTATAAATCTTTCTTTATCACAACTTCTCTTTTTCAATACAGACTTACATTTTTGTCACATTGTGGCCAAAAGGAAACAGATAGAGAGAAATGATGACAGGCAGTAGTTGGGTCAGCTCAACCCAGGGCTGCTTGTAAATAAACAGCTCCAGCCGTGACTCTCTTAGAGTCAATTAAGGAGAAGAGTTCAGCCGTGTCTGGCTGCCATGTGGAAATTCCTGCCAGGAAATTTCCCTTTATCTAGCAGCCAGCCAGCCAGGCAGTTTAACCCAGCCCAGGCCATCATAGTCATCATCATCATCATCATTATCATTATAGTCAGACATGGAGACGGTTTGCTCTACATCACCACAGGACGGACATGTACACGTTCACAGGCGGTGTTCCTCTCTGACTCAAAACACTGAAGAGTCACAGATATGGAGAGAGACATGGGCGGGGAGATAAGAGGATCCTTGAGTGTGCACGAACATGTGCACGTTGTCAGGGAAGGAAACATTCCTCTCCCCCGGTGACTAGAGTTAGCAAACAGACACGAATGACTTGATGTGTGTGCACGTATGTGTGCACGTGTTTGTGATTTAAACCTTGTCCTCTCAAGTCTTCCGTGTCCTTTTGGGCCAAACCCTTTCCCTCCGTTCCCTTGTGATACATAATGTTATTTTCTAGACAGACAGACCTCTCTCAATATTTAATTTCTTAGTCTTTTCTGCCGTAGACACTCAAGTTACTGCAATGATAAATATTTTCTGCTGAGTCAACATGAATCACTAAAACAAAAGAGGGTGTTTGTGTGAATTAGACTTTCCGTTCCTTTTGTTTTCTGTCTCTCCATTGGCATCTTTGCTTGACTCACACGGATGCTTTTATTTAAATCTGGTACGGATGATTGTTCCGAGGCCTCCAGCTTACACAAAGCAGTAATTAATAAAGTTGGAATATACCCCGACTGACAGTGACACACATTGATTTTAGTCTATAAAACTACATTGTCAGATCATCAACACATTCTGTCCTGTGATTTGAGCAGACTTTACTCACATACGTGCTCTGAGGAAGGCCTCAGGCCCACTTTGACTGTGTGCTGCTTTTTTACTATTTCAACTGATATATATATTTTTTTTTTTTTTGAGGGTGAGCATCCAGATTTTCTTTCTGAAATGCAGATTTGTCTTTTACTGAGACTCTCAGCCAGAAAAGAGGCAAACTCAGCACATTTAATATTCGGAGGACAATGTTTAATGCGAGCCAATAAAAATGTGCTGATGTGTGATTTATAAAGTTGTAGCTATTCCTTTTAAATCTGTGGTTGTAATAAAATCATTAATACAACATAATACACCAGCTCAAACATTGCAATTCAATGTTTTTGTTTAATTTTGAAAGAATATATGCTATGCTTTTCATTAATGGAATGGAGTATTTTCATCTGCCATGCCTTTAATTCACTGCATTGGGTAGACATTCTTTTATCATTATTTTATCCGTTAATGGTTCCTACATGTATTATATTACCATTTGTAAAGTTATAATGATGGGTTCAACCATATAAGAGAACAATTCTAAAGGTCAAGATTCACATGCTAATTTAAACCACCAGAGAACATACAGACAGGCCACACTTGATAACAATAAGCTTGGCCATTATGTCAATAAATGTAAATCTACTTTTAATATTCTCACAGATAATGGATCTATTAGAATAAGATGGTAAGATCCAGATAAAAGCTGAAATAGGCTGTATGGGAAATGAATGGATAGAAGAACGGTTAATATATGATCTTTTGTTCATCACCTGATAATGCGCTGGGCAGCGTACTGGTGCAGACATCGAAACTGGGCTGACATGTTGGCAAGGGCAGCCAGACAGTTGGTATGGAGGTATTTATCCTGGGGAAGACGCACACAAAGATACACACAACAGTGATGATACTATTAGATGAATTTGTGTTTTATTAATAAGAGTTCATGTCATGACAAATGCCTTACATCACTACTTGGATCAACGTATACCAACAGGGAAAAGACGTATCTTTTTCCTTCCACTGTACAAAAACTAAGTCAAAATATTCCAGATAGTGGCAAAACCATCTTGGAGTGATGACATCATTTGGAGCCAGGGTCTGCACAGTAGTGATTGGGGAGTGGAGCCGCAGTATCATGGTCCTGCCGATACACCCTCCTTATCAATCATGAGTCAATCTTAGCTGTAAATCATGATGTCTCAGCCTGTTTTACGTGGGCTTGGAGAGTGCATACCTCTATGGGTTGTTACTTGGCTCAAGTCCCACCCCTCCCCAAAAATTAATGGAAATCTTTTTTGGTAATCGTCCTACCAACAAACAAACAGATGAAACTAGCTGGGCACATAATTCTGTCAAGGTTAATGCCCAATCTCACCATGTTAAAGAAAGTTAAAAGAAAAAAATACTAGATCCACCCATTTATATGGATCCTCATCCTCCTTGGTTAAGATCCCACGCCCACACAAAATTCCATGGAAATGGGTTCAGCAGTTTTTGCGTAACTTTGAAAACATAACCTTCTTAGTAGAGGTAATTAAAAACAATCCCTTGACCTTAAAACAGTTTCATAAGAACTACTTAGAATGACAAAAATCTTCATGGGAATTTTTTTCTGGCCCATGTCCTATCTGCGAACATGCAGGAGGGATTGTTTTTTGACAACCAGGGCATGATTGAAATATTTTGGCTTCACTTTTGCGGAGTTGTCCATCTTTTATATACAGTCACAAAATGTGTCTACAGCTGATAGATTTCATGTTATGTTTCCAACTGTGCTTGAATACATGTTCATCTTACCCTTGTCCGGGTCATGTTAAACTGGATTGTGCGGATAACCACCAGGATGAGCAAACTGCCAAGAGAGATATCCGTCAATGACCTCTCTGTGTACCATGGGACGTTCTTCAAAACCTGAAACCAGAAATGAGACAGGAATGAGGAAATGTACTATAATCGCAACAAGTGCAGGTAATGGAAGTTTTCTGTGTTAATTCCTGAAACCTGACTAGTGTGTGTTTAACTTTTGTGTGTCTACCCACCACCTCATGGATGGAGCGATTAAAGGCATCGTCTTCTGTGAGAATGAGGAGAATAATGAGGGCCATGTAGACGTGATGAGAGTTTCTTTCCTCTACGTGGTAAAGGATCTCGAGGATGGGCAAAACCTGAGAGGAAGAGGAGGAAAAAGATCAGAGAATACTGTATGTGTGGGTGACTTTCATTAAAATCCTTTGGATGTTTAATGGGGTTCCAACAGAGGGAACCCTGTGGAAACAGCATCAGGTACATTTTCACGTTCTTGGTTTTCCTTTTCATTTATAACTAATTAACCATTGCTCTCTTATTTTTTCATTTTGGTGGCTATGATGAGAATTTGCAGATGTTCTGGCAATTTGTGAGCAAAGAGACAAGAAAACAAAATGAGTGGATAAACTGCACCAACAACAGTGGATGAAAATGTGAACATGTTATTTCATGTGAATGATAAAAACTACGGATCATAGGGTCTTAATGCAACTAATATAAGACTAAGCACTGCAGACGTTAGCTGCGAAGCCAAGATTTACATCATTACATTTATTTGGACACTCCTGAATCATGGATCATAATGCTATAGGTGGAGACCTGCTAGATATAAGAGGCAAGCAGAGCAGACAGAAGCACAGTCAGAGTGAAAGCAGTTAGCATGGTGAGCAGTCGGCTCACACAGTTTGAGTGTTAGCTCATTATGCTGTCGTGCAGCAGTGCTTTATTGTTCAGCACAGAGAAAGTAGCAAGACTCATTAGTAGCCCCCCTACATAATATGCTCAAGCTAGATCAGCTAATGATGGTATTTTATTATAGCAGCCATAAATATTGAATAACACAGAAAGGTCACAGTGATATCAGAAGTAAATTTTAATAGACCTACAGTTTAAAATGTGACTGTTAATTAAGGCCATTGCCAGCACATGTGGAGCCATTAGTGCAAATTTGTGGTGTTCTGTTGCAAACGTATCGGCCAAACATATCTGTGCTCACTATTTTAACTGCTACCTCCTCTGCAATAAGACCAAATTATTGTGTTATACGGTGTCAGTCACACAGCCTCATTTGTGATGGTCCACCATACTTGTGCTATATATGAAACCATCTGACATGCTGTGCTATAGATTGATTTTCGCTCACTTATTGCCTCAGTACATTCGCTCTGCTATAAGGAATAACTGGCACAGTCCCACATGGACAGAATAGCACCAGCTGCTACGGCATACATCCTCTGTGTTTACTGAGCCATAGCATTGGCCCGAGATTAAATGCTTTCATGGCCATATGCATGTGTGTAAGGAAGAGCAGCATAATGTGCTTTGTTGGGGATTGACCAATCATGCTTGGACTCTTTATTTGCTTCCACTTTGCTACAATAGTCACATGAAGATTGTATTAATTTATATGCATGTGTGCACCACGCTCTGTAAAATGAACACAATCAAAATAAAACTCTACATTCCCATCCTACCCACCAGATTGTCCATGTCAGTTCTGGAGAGCATATATGTCCTCATGTTGGCGTTCTGGTGAAGCAGGGTGTACAGCAGTAACGTGGCCTGATCAGAGCGCTGCTGTTCACACAGCGCTGTGTACAGACTGTTGAAATTGATTTGGAAAGTGTGAGGTTGCTCCACGGACAGCGATGATGTGTCTACATGAGCAGAGGAAAAATATATAAAACACTCTGGTAGATGACATATGACAGTATTTAACAAGTATATCTGTGGGTTTCCAGGAAAATATATTTACCTTGTGTGTTTCTGAAACAAGTAATTGCCTGGCGGTAGGGGTTGGGCCAGTCAGGCCCGTCTGTCAGATTGGCGAGGACCAGCAGTAACAGAAGGCTCTGATTAGACAAAGGTAAGGGGTTTTGTTCTTGGTCTACGCCTGATTTGCCACCAGCTCCACCCAATGTGAAGACACTCCACAGCCCACCTACAGATCAGAAAGAGAGGCAGGTCAACCTACGGATAAAAAAATACACTTGACAACTCCTTTGTTCCTTTTCATCATTTATTTACTTCCTTCTCTATTATTACCTCCACCAAAGAGGTTATGTGTTGACTTGTCTTTGCTTGTCCTTTGCTTGTTGGCTGGTTTGTTCATAAGCAAGATTAGACAAAACAACCGAATGAATTTCCATGAAACTTGGTACGGCTTGATTAAATTTAAGGGGACTCTTGGGCCTTGGTGGAGGTATGACTGACTTTCATTTTTAAATGGGGGTATACATCTTTTTCATTTTGGTCATTTTTCTAACAATAATTTATATTCTTATTCAACTTTTAATTAGTACAGGAAAATAATTGTCTATCTTTTCTGACACACCTCCTCTGTTGTTCTTTAAAGTAGGATTTAGCAGAGATTAGACAGCGGCATCTCTATTTCAGTACAACAAAGAAGTAATTGGTGCAAAATCTAAAGATCTGTGAGGTTATGCGTGTGAGTCTCTTTTAAAGAAAGCACCAAAGTATTGTCCCTACTTCCAGTTCCTCAATCTCACAACTGCTTTTCCTTTCATAGGTAAATGAATGTAAAACGGTGCGTGAGGTCAGACTGATGTAGACGAGGCCAAAAAAGCACAAAGGAGTCATGTACGGTGGTTTGCAGAACCTGAAATTTGAAACAACATAGACGGCGCCACAGTGCAAAGAGAAACTAGAACTACTAGCCAACTGAAGCGGACATGGTTTTTCTTGTTGGGAGAGATGAGAGAGAGCTGCATTTCCTGCAGAGTAACTGAAGTGCTGGTGCTTTCAGGCGTCACAAGAAGCACGAGAAGCATGAACACCAAGGTACACAATGACAGCCTCTGGCTCCTGCACGTCTAGCCACACAGAATACATGAAGCAAGCTGGAGTGAGACACTGTGTGTGTGTGTGTGTGTGTGTGTGTTTTGTAGGTTCTCACTGATTCATGCTACTGAATTTGAGGAGAAGCCAAGTAGATTTGTTGCCATCAAGTGGCAAAAGCTGGAAGAGCAGAACAATTCTCCTGGCTGAATCTGCACACTCTCCGATTGAGGAAAGAGTAATTTCATAAAAGTCATCCTGATCCACCCAACTATGACACACTAACTAGTTACTGAACCAGAAAAGATTTAAGTCAAGTATACAAGGACGGATTAGTGTGGAACATTAGAGGGGTGACACGCTTTGTGTACATGAGGTCTAGACTATATGAAAAATCATTAACTCAAGGAGAAAATCCCATCGTCCTCTTGCAGCTTTAGTCGAGGGACGACAAAGGAAGAGATTGTAAGTGATGAAGACCCTGTGATGTTAAGAGTAGTCATAAAAGTTTTAAACCATTATGCATGACAAAATGAAGGCTTTTCATGTACTTTTCCTCCTTTCTCTGACTTAGAGTTTCTTTTCAACAACTTGTGACTGATTAGAATCTCAGTAACATCCATGATTTATATGTTGGTTTGCCTCTAAATTCACTGACGACAAGTAAAGAGCCACTTTGTAGAAATGTGTTCACAATTCCAGTAAAGAGGAGAATGAATTTGTTTATATTTGAGCTAAAGCGACATCAACAAAGTGCTTCATGATAAAAAGAAATCCCCAAGAGAGAAATAATGTAATTTGCACTGGTCAGTCTGTCTCTCTTTCTCTCGGCACGACACTCTTCTTTCCCTCGACTGGCCAGAGAGAGAGAAACGAGTGTGAGAGAAAACATGATCGAGAGAGAGAGGGAGGGCCAAGTTGTGACGGAGCCCTGTTCATCTCATCACTGGCACCACAGTGACTAGCCCAACAGTGTCAGAGAGCCTGGTCTGGCAGCCACATTTCCTGCACTCTAACACACACACACACACACACACACACACACAC